TGATTGTTCACGTACATTTTATTTGAAATGCAGTCACTATGATCCCTTCTGCCGACCATAATCCTTAGCGTTCAAACAATAGAATGTTTTGATCTGACGTCATAATGAACTAGGGCAATTTAAGTTTCATTTTCTTTCCAACATTCCTTTTGAAGTAGCTGTGTACGTTTGTCAGTAAACTATAATGTACTAAACTATCTACTCTTCAGATCTTCCCTGCCAACCACGACCAAAACACCATTAGATTCAACTCTTTGATTCCATCCATAAGAGGTCGATTCCTGCGTGTGTATCCATACAGTTGGCATTCATACCCAGTCCTCCGCGTGGAAATTTATGGATGTAAATTAGGTAAGGATTGATTCATAACATATATCATTATATCCGGTTTATTTCTGGGTAATTTCATCTAATTCCCGCCGCTCTTTTCTCGCTAAAACAGATCGCAAAYTATTCGAACGCTTTGAAATTATTTTTGTTAAAGATTAGTCAGGTAAAATGCCTGCAGTTTCAGGACAGATTAAAGGTTTATAATTGAAATATCAACCTTTATATCGATATATTTATTTGAGTTAGCGGCCAGTTTCTCCAACTGACTATGACTATATTCATCTATAGCTTAGTTTTCAGTCGAAGTCACAACGGCCAATGCGGGTGATTCAGTGTCAAATTAATTAAGTATCTATTGTGTCAATAATGTCTATTAAGTCAATAATGAASGTGACCGTCGGCCTTAGAATCTTAAGAGATTGATTGGAAATCAAAATAGGCCGATACCAAATCAAATGTCCTTTGCAATGTGGAATGCCTCTTTCACCATAGATTAGCGTTGCTGTTGCTGTCCCCCTAGCTGCATTGAAAATTCTTTCAAACTGCTGTTTTATTACGTTTCTTATAACAGAGTTTTTATTTGGTAAATTTCAGAGGCTTGTACAGCTCCTATTGGTCTCCAAGATGGTCGTATCCCAAATCACTATATGACAGCATCAAGCATGTGGGACAAAAACCACGGTCCTTACCGCGCACGTCTTAACCTCCGCAATTCAGGCGGTACTGGTGCCTGGTGTGCTCGCTATAACAACGCCTTCCAATGGCTTCAATTCAAATTGCTGCAAACAAGTAGAATTACAGCTGTATCCACACAAGGTCGATATGAATCCAATCAATGGGTCAAGACATACGAGATTGCTTTCGGCTTCAATGGCAAGAAATTCACTTTCTATTCCGTTAAGGGTAAAGTCAAGGTAACTATCCTATTTTTATCACTTTAAATGAAGCAAAAACAAATAGAGACGAAATAGACATACGTTAACAAAAATTATATCTGTGGTTTAAAACAGAACTTTGTAATCGAAATTATTTCAACTTCAATTTATTCACCTTAGTCCCTCTGCTCGCTGTCACCAATAGAAGCTCGTGGGATTTTTTTATCAATAAATTTTACTTGTTTTCAGCTCTTCCAAGGTAACTACGACAGACAGACAATTGTCACWCATCGTCTCGTACCACATTTAAGAGCACGTTACGTGCGATTCTACCCCAAGACATGGCAAGCACACATCGCTATGAGGATTGAACTTTACGGCTGCTACCCAAGTACGTCAAATCTCTTTCAATTATTCAAGTACATTCATATGTCAGTTATTTAATTCCTTGTTGATGGTATTTTTGTTAGTGATGACATCAATGTGTTACAAGCCTCTGGGTGTCGGTAATGGTCGCATACCCGACTCAAGCCTAAGAGCTTCGTCTGCCTATCATCCAAGAACTAAATACGGTCCACAATTTGGTCGACTTCGTCGTATGAACATCCGTGGGTAAGTAAAAGACAAATTGTGCCTGAACTACGGGAGRTTGTGTAAAGTATAGAAATATTTACTGGTCAAAAGTTCAGTTGCGGATCCAAAACGTTGCAGAATGGGTGACTAGTTTAAGGATACAATAAATGCATATATTAAAGACTGCAGAAATGAAATTTGTTTCAGTTTTTTATCGGAATAATTCCCATTCTTTACTATGATAAATCACATTTTGCTAGTTTTGGCCCTTCAGATAAGCATTTAAAAAATAATATGTACATAGACCGAATATGAAAATGGTCGATCAACTTAGGTGATTGAATGGAGAGATGACGTCGCATCTTTTCTACGAAGACGTTTCAGCCTGACAGTTACAGTGAAGCCAACGGATATTGCAACATTTCTGATTGATTGATTTAGTGAAAGCAATGTTATTCGTATCAACAGAACTAGCGGAGCATGGATCTCCCGTCACAATAAYCATAATCAATGGTTCCGTGTTGACCTTGGCCGAGCATGCAAGGTCACTAAAGTTGCAACACAAGGACGTTACGAAGCACATCAATGGGTTACACAATATAATCTCCTGTATAGCACCAACAGCAGAAGCTTCCATTACCTGCGCGAGGGCGGAAAGATTAAGGTAAGCTGTTTAAGACTAGAAACRAGTTATTTGCCAGGTCATATTAAGATTAAAATTGTATCTGAGTTTTAGCGTGTTTGGTGAAATTTTCAATGCTGGAAATACCAAACGATTTATTAACACAAATTAGGAGAAAATATTGCTATTTTSACTATTAAAAKTATACGATAAAAATAATATACATGGTCGCTTGGAGATACTTTTTAACTTCTCGTGTAGAAAATCTCTCACTTCAAGATAAATTCCATATCTCCACGCGCACATGTAATATCCTCGAATTGTTTGAATAAATCAAAGTCAATATTAATAATTTTTTCAATCTGTTCTAATTGTTATTTGAAATGCTTTTAGATGTTCAAAGGAAACTTCGACCGTTATTCCATCGTCGAGAATACTATTGACCCTCCAATCACAGCTCGATTTGTCCAATTCAGACCACGTGGTTGGAGATCGCATATTTGTATGCGAGTGGAAGTCTACGGTTGCTACTCAAGTAAGTAAAAACCAACGCCGAAATATTTTCCATGACAATTTTTCATCAAAGTTTCTTGATAGTGCAAACAATATACTCAAATCGCATCGAGTTCAAAAAGTCGTAAATAATATTATTATTGGGTATTTGACACCTCTATTGATGCACGTTTCTTCTCAACTAGATGCACCCAGTATGACGCGCCCAACTCTTGTCCCAACCATCGTTCGACACCGAGGTGTTGCAAGAGTCGTCGCACGTTGTCAGTTTAGAATCACCAACCGCAAAAAYAGAAGAACTGTGTCTGTTGTTCAATTCTTCGTCAACAACCGTCTTACAAGAACCGTAAGCGTGAAATGGTTCCATGCTGACCTTGTTGAACAGACATATGGATTCAAGGCTGGTGTTACGGTACGCGATTCGTTTTCTTAATCAGTTTTATATGACTACATTGAATCTTGCTAAATGATGTTGATGGTCTCAGGTATCTTGTCGTGTGAAGAGCCGATTTGTTGGCGTCAAGGATTACAGCAACTATGACAGCAGCCAGAAGGTCTTCTTTGGAATCAAGGTAAATTTTGCACCCATCCAGTCCCATTAAGGATAAATCAACACTCTAATGTTATATGGTGGGAACTAGCGGTAAATTAGTGTGAGCTGCGTCGGTGTTTCTAAAGAAAMAGTTGTGTAAAAAGATAAATTTAACACCCTAAAAAAGTAGGTGAAATAACTTACTGACGTTTCGGACGTTAATCCTTCGTCGTTTTCACTACTTCTGTTAAATTCTAAGGTCCATCCAAAGAAAATCACTATCTCAGAAACAAAACCATGGCAATTTATCAAGACAACAGGATTCGCTCCTATTGGCTGCTACGGTAAATCACTCGGCTGCAAGGTAGTAGCACCAATCAGCAAGCACGACGATTATGTAACAGATAAATGTGCTCTCAAAATGACTGAGCGTACACGAAAGAAGTATGGATTCTATGTGAAGGCTGTTAAAGACTTCAAAAAATCAGGAAAGAAGAGCATGGTGYTATATTTTGGAAAAATTAAATCTCGTCCAGGTGGTAGCAAATTTTGGCTTAATTATCAACTTCCACCTGTCAAGGTAATTGTCAATGTAAACCTAAGGGTGGTTTAATAGTAAGACTGATTATAAGACCATTGCTTGAAATCGCYCCTGGAGRCGCTATACATCAGATCAATGCAACCCAGTAATTTGCTCACGCGACAAACACAGAATATKATAAAGGTTACATGTCCATGAATTGATCTTTGATRTATGATCTTGRCAGATATATGCTCCTCCAGTAAACAAAGGCTTCAGAAAGTGCCACGCAACTGGTGATCCACATTACAGAACATTTGATGGAATGTAAGTATTATTTGTGCCCAARCCTTAATTTGCCAAAACCCGACTTGTCGATCTTCTTCCTGACAAAACCCGTCTTGTTGATATAAATTCTTATCTTATAYATCAGCTGTAGTTTTTAATATTTTTTCAAAATGTCCAAATTGTATAATAAGTTACTAGATTTCTTCTCGATTTCTTCTCTGTCATTTTTTCGCTTAATTGACTTTTGACGTTGTTATGCTACGAACATTCACGCATGCTCAAGAGGATAATAATCGGAAAGAGTTATTATATCTCGCTTAGGACGGGTGAGAGAAGTAGCTTTGTTCGCTGAGTAGAATTTAAGATGACTTTATGAAATATTTATATTTCCAGGTATTATGATATTCTTCGTAACCCTGGTACTTACACCTTTGTCAAGAGCACGCGAAGACCATTCGAGGTAAGAARGGATGTTAATGAAGGAAATCTTTGTCTCAGTTTTATCCAAACTCTGATAGAAATTGGATTCCTGAATTTAGTCTTTCCGTATCGAATTTTGTATRTGATAATTCTTAATGTTATTATCAAAACAATTTCTGATGAATATTWATAGGTTCAAACTCGTATCTGGCCATGTTGGAGAGTTGTGTGTAACTGTGGTGTTGCAGTCCGTGAAGACAACGATGTTGTCGTCGTCGATATGTGCCACGGTGCATGGAAACGAACTGTGCCTCGAGTTATCCAGAAATCGAAGGGAACACTTAAGAAGGTCAAAGTGACTCGCTATGGATCAGGACAGAGCTCAAGATATAAGGTAAGTGCTTGTTTCACTTCATGAACAATTCTATTAAGAGCACATACAGCTATTTCAAAAAACGTTGTCGGGGAGAACAGCAAATGACGATTGTCGAAGGGAGATTGCACGACCGAAAGGGACTATGGTTACACTGTTTTGATAAATAAAATTTCACCTATTGGATTCACCTTACATAGTAATGGAGACTAAATGGAGCCAATGTTTACACCACAGACTATGTTACAGTATAAATCAGTTGTTATTTCATTTCACCAAGCGAAACCCATGACTACTTTCGGTCGTGAAATCGCCGTCCGACAATTGACATTCGCCATTTTATCCGACAACCTTTTTTGAAATAGCTATATACATCCGAGAAACTTTGCTTAATTTCCTCTCGTACGAAAATTCGGCATCTTTGAGTTTTGAACTAATCAGAAAGCCCCAGAAAACCACAGATCATTTTTTTTTAAAGCGATTTGTTAGACACAAAACGCGATCGCAAAGTTTCTCGGATGCACGGTCTTTAAATACAACTGCTTGGTTTGGAAGGTCACGCGAAATATATTACTTATTTATGTGTGTTATACAGCCAATCCCATAAACGTTGTTGAGACGTAAAGACATTCAACAACAAAGTCATTTGAATATAACGCATTATGAATGTTTTTCAAGACTTTTTAGCATTCATTTAAACCAGTTAATACATTTTGATTTGGCATTTAGGTTAAGCTTTAATTTGAAATTGAATTCAAAAAAAAAATATATATCAAGCCATCACAATACCCGTTTTGACAAACATATCGTGAAATGYCGAACTTGTTTTGTGAGATTGTTGACCTATTCCAAAAAGCAAGTGGAATAACAGGTCACTGGCCTTAAAATATCATTTCTGTGTAATCCTTCTTTGCTAATCTGAAAGCTGAGGAATATCGGGAATACTCCAGTTTCGAATTCTCCAGTGCTCTGTGTTAGCCTCATTTGTGCGCAAAATATTCSTAATTGTGARAATMAAAGTGTGAGATTTTAAATCAATTCTATTGTCTTTCTTCACAAAATTCCATGCGTTTTATCGAGCTATCTATGGAACAAAAGAATGTGTTACTTGGTTTTGAGGCTAACACAGAGCAAAACAGAACTCGAAATTGGAGTATTAAGCAAACGTCCCTGTTATGCTCCACACCGCCAAACCGCTTAGCTAGTGACATGATAGTAGAAAACAACGATCGTCGATGATTCGATATATAATTACCTTGGTATCATGTTTTTTTTTTTTACAAACAAATGACGCTATACTCTAGTTTCGAATTCATAGCGAATAACCGCTGTTTTATTTGACAACAGATTCTCTTGCGCAAAGACCTTACAAACACAAAAGAGAGCACGAGAAAATAATGTCGTTATTACAATAGACTTGAAAATTTGCATTTTCACCGAGTTGAGATTATCTTTGTATTCCCATAAGACCTAAGGTATGAGCAGGGTTAGCCTCAACTCGGGGAAAATGTAGATTCTTAGCGCTATTGTATTAACAACATTTTCTCGTGCTTTCTTTTGTCTTTGGTAAGTACTTTGCGTAATAGAATCTGCTATCAAGTAAAACAGCGGTTATTCGCTTTGAATTCGAAACTGGAGTATTGTCTTTATTTCTTTACGATCACTGTACAATGTTAATTGGATTGTCTCTTTATACAGCTACTTGCAAAAAKGTTGTCATAGAAAATAGGACATTTGTATTTAGTAAAAAGGAATAAATTAAAAATAAAAAAAAGATCACTGAGGCTGAATGCTCTCTTTTGTCTTGTTTTAATTTATTCCTATTTTTACTAAATTCAAATGCTCTATTTTCTATGACAACGTTTCTGAAAGTAAGTGTATCTTACGTATTTGAGATTTTCTTATCTCAATTCAGTTTTCATTGAAATCTGGCGTAACTGTCAACGTGCATGCAAACAACTGGGGTATGAATGTCTACATTAGTATCCCTGGATCGGATGCTGGTACTGTCGTCGGTCTGTGTGGAAATGCCAATGGCAAGAAACACGACGACATTAGCAACAGGAACGTCTACTCAATCTCTCGAAGATACAAGTAAGTACTATTACCAGGTTTGGGATTCCTRTGGTTGATAAATTAACTGCTCAAAGTGATGGATAAACTAAAATTCCTACCTTATTTTTCATTTATTTATCAATACAATCAAAAATTCATCCTTGACTAACATCATCTCATTCTGTCCTTACTTAGACTTAGACCTGGTACAACACTATTCGAGCGYGCTCCTCCAAAAACATCTCCAGGCCGAGGTCCAGGAAAAGGAATCAAGCCTGCCTGTCAATGTGTTCGACACAAAGGAAARCGCATGAACTCATGTGATGTTCGACCTGCTCCTGAACTCGAGGAGGGAGGTGAACCCGTCACTCCTATTGTTGTACCGCCCAAGAAAAAGAAGCCAGGCGACSAAGATAGCACTGAYTACGATCCAGATTCAATTAATTACAAATTTAAACCACCAAAGGTGAATTACAAGCCACCAAAATGGCCGACCGACACRGGTATCACGAAAGCCAAGGCATATAATCACTGTAGAAAGAAGTTCCGAAAACTTCCGCGTGCATGTAAAAAACTCGTAAGGAAAGATAGAGGAAAACTAATGAAGGATTGCCTCAAGGACATCATGGTACGTCGATGCATTTGTAATCAATTGCTGATAGATTGCCATCCGATATTCCTTTAGCGGGTGATGCAATAGTTTCTCAAGTTAGTTATCAAACAAATACTTGAATAGCCGGGTAAACGACAACAAAMAAATATACCAAGAAAGAGGACACAACATCTTTAATTTGCACATGATATCTAGAAAATCACTTTTATCCGAAAGGTAAAACGCTGCCAAGCACTTCTGTGAAGAAAGAAATAGATTTTGAATTGTATTTTCTGCGTTATAGACATCTGAAAATTGAAAATGCAAATGAAGTGACGTCAACTAAGGAATCGATCCAGACTTTGTACATTGCTTGCGCAATGCTGTTCTTGGTTGAAGAGCTCAAATCATGAATCATAGTAATAATTTTAGAGCTGAAAATGCTTTTTTCTAATGTAACAAAAAGAATAACGTCCTCTGTCATGATTTTGTATATTAAATCATTCGTTAGTAGACCTCAATTCATTTGCATTTTCTAAGTTTCAATTGCCAATAACTTAGAAAATGCAATTTAAAATCAATTTCTTTCTTCAAAGATGTACTTATCAGCATTTTCTCTCTTAGATGAGAATGAATTTCTAATGGTGTCATGTGCACTATAAAATCTCATTGTACACAAGTTATTTCTGTTCTTTCTTTTACGATTGTATACTGCCGTCTATCATAACCAACTATTGATTGCGGCAAAAACAACAAAAATTTAGTTAATACACACTTCAATTACTTAGAAAAATAGCTGTGCCTGCCATAATATCATTCATCTTACGATTGTACACCGCTTCTATCTTGTAGTACTCAGGAGCGCTGAAAGCGTCTCGAATGGCATTCAGTAGTATTCAAAAGTTATGCAAAGATAGAATGCTTGAAGATCCTAAGAACTGGAARAAGGGCAAGGATGGTAAACTGAAACCTGACACTAAAAAAGTCGGTGGTCTCTGTCCTAACAGTTGTTCTGGTCGAGGTAAGGGTCATAATAATAAACTTTAACACAAGAGAGCGAAGTCGTTAAAMCCATGAAACGACATTTGACTATTAAAGTGTGATAGTCAWATAGACACAAAAGAAAACCATGCAATTARAGCCTACTARAGTSYATTAGTGTAATATCTATTTCACGGTATTTTTGACTTCACTCTATAAATAATAACGAAACTATTTTGTACTTTTTWAAGGCCCAGTRTGCACCATTATGCTTTGGGGGMCATGAGGGCCTGGAGGCGGMCATTTTCAGTYTACCGAAAGTCTATAAATTGTACTGTGCGTTTCGAATATTTKAGMATCTCACTTTTCTAAGCACTTTTAAAGCTAATATAAGAGTTTTCAACCATMTGAAATTYGTTTTATGGTGATATTTGGATACTAGAGGTGTTTTGGTGTAAATCATAACAATAACASRGGCGCGCAAAGCCTAATGGTGCAAACTGGGCCTTTAACGYTCACGGATTTAGTGCGCTCACTCTACATTTAGTTTGAAAACCTGATTAAAATGAGTAGTATTCATAGATGGCGAARTCAGTTTATKCGTCTTACAAAGCTATTTTTTACTTCAAGGTAAATGCGTYAAGAACAAGTGCCGCTGCTTCAGAAAYTGGGCAGCCGATGACTGTAGCATCAATAAGAAGAAGCCACCTAAACTCACTGGAGTACAATCCAAGGGATTGTGTAACGCTGAAAAGCGACAATGTCACTTTGACAGCGTCTATGGTTCTGGTTTCTTCAACCTTGGWCTTCGTTGTCACGCAAAGAAATATAAGGTAAGGTTGACGCTCTGTCCAGACGAAATCTCTTTGTATAATCGATTGATGATGACGCTGAACGGACATGACTCATATAACCCTGTTAGGAAGCCACAATACAATAGCATTTGCTGACAGCTTCCGATGGCAAAAGGCCGAACTAACAGAACTCCTGAAAGCTATCTACAATCGTTGACAAAATCCTTGGACCATTCCATCGAATTTCCTCATTTTAAGCAACACCCGAAGACAATTTCATCCCCCCTGACCCCATAAATGCAATGTTGTCATTGAGCATGTTACCATAGTACACGACCATCCAAAACAAGACCCAACATTGACCCAACTATTTAATCCCTTTTGTGTTTCAGCTTTATGGCCGAAGATGGCGTCCAGTTGGCGGTTGGGTCAAGACACAAGGTACAATCCAGAGTTTCGCTGAAGTTCGCTGCAAGATCCCTATCAACATCAAGAAGGGAAGAAAGATCAAGGGCTTGCCTTTGATGTTCATGATCAARGTGTCTAACAATGGACGTTTGACCAGTAATTCTAGGAAACTGATAATCTACGACTCAGCTTGTCACGCTTGTAAAGCTAATGGACAATGCACTACCAAGGTAGGATATCTGATTTACATACCGTTGGAGACTAGGTAATAGTCAATTAATTCAAATGATGGTGAGAATATCTGATTTTATACCGTTGGAGACTAGGTACAAGTCAATTAATTCACATGATGGTGGGATAAGACTTGTATAGAAAAAATAATTGCATTGCAAATAAGTTTAAACGTGACTGCTTTTCAAAGAATTATACCATAAAATGTCACGCAATCATGAGTATAACATGTCACGCAATGGTGACCATAAAATGTCATGCAATCATGAGTATTACATCTCACGCAATGGTGACCATAAAATGTCATGCAATCGTGAACTTAAAATGTCATAATATTCTGATATACATTGTTAATTGTAGTGCTATTTTTTTTTTAATTTTTAGCGCAATAACTGCATCATTAAGGGTATCTGTTACCGTCCAAACGAAAGCAACCCGAAGAACAAGAACTTGAAATGCGTTCCTGTCATCAACAGAAATGCTTGGACTAAAGGTATTTTTCGTTTTTAAGTTACGTCACAGCGGCCATCTTGGATAAACTTCAACAAAGGATTTCTTATTAGTATCTATTGTTCATTCTTCCAATATGGCTGCCCATCTTTTGTCTTTTGTATTTCATGGGAATGTTTGAAAACGATCAATAGAAACTACATTTTTAAATCGATAGTTCTCTCATGTGGTAATAAAGTTCAAGTGTGATAATTATAAAGATGTTCCAAGGACATTTCAACTCTAATTTCATGTGAATAGTTAAATAACTTAAAATAACCTCTGGTTTTGTAGTTGTAACGTTCAGTTATGAATGACTGTTCATTTTTTAGTTGGTCAACTTCACCGTGCATTGGGAATGAAAAGYGGCAGGATCCCCAACCAAGCAATTTCCGCATCGAGCACGTGGGGTAGATTCCACGCCCCATGGCTTGCTCGTTTGAACAAATAYTACCGCAAGCCTTACGCTGGAGCTTGGTGTGCTAAGGTCAACAACAAGTACCAATGGATTCAGATTTATTTGAAAACTCCAAAGAAAGTTAAGAAGATTGCAACTCAAGGTCGCCGTGACTATAACCAATGGGTCACTAGGTATTACGTGACATACAGTATGGACGGTAGCCGCTTTATTCCCTACAAATGTAAAAAGGTTTGTGACCTAATTTTTGTTCTTGTTTTACGCGCTGAATGCAGTAAAGCGGCTCACTACGGGCGCAGTCTGATTGCTGTAATATGATTGGCTTGCTACACATAACTTCTATTCTGATTGGTTGCCTTGTTTAGTTTTGCACACTGATTGGCTAGCAAAAAGATGCGATTTGGGCTCAAAATAGGGCAATTCATTGTCAAATCGCAACATTTCGAACCAATCAGAACACACAATTTAGTAGTAATTTCAATATGGATTAAATCCCTATATTGCATCTGCTGCATTACGGACGCTTCTATGGTATTTATTACTCATTGTGAATGRTACTCTGCAGATATTCACTGCCAACCGTAACCGCAATGGCGTCGTAAGTCACATTCTCAAGCCTGCTATTATAGCAAGATACGTACGTCTCCATCCAGTATCATGGGCCAATCATATTTCCATGAGACTTGAATTGTACGGACACAGAATGGGTAAGTACATAMGACAAGACAACATACCTGACATGTATACCTTCGAACGGTCTGCAAATTTCTCACACAAAAAAAAACAATTAGAAGAAGAAACTATGTGTAGAGCAAAGTAAGAGATCGCTTTAGTTTCAGTCACGCGTCACGCAACCTCTCCATACAAAGGTTGCGTGACGCGTGACCGAAACTAAGCAAGATATTTTCTATTGTTCTTATGTAGCTTCCTTTGGACTTAGTGGGTGATTTAACCACCCTTCATACAACCAGGGACGGAATAGTCTTTAGTTTCAGTCACGCGTCAYGCAAYCTCTCCACACAAAGGTTGCGTGACGCGTGACCGMAACTAAGCAAGATATTTTCTATTGTTTTTATACAGCTTCCTTCAGACTACCTCTTGGTGTCCAGGATAAACGTATTCCTCATGGTAATATGCAGGCATCWTCTCGATGGGACTACAACCATGGAGCCTTCCGCGGAAGGTACCGATCTTTTTTTTTCAATTTGATAAAATAAGTGTTTTGTATTACAGATCAAGAAAACAAATTACATAATCTATATAGAAWTATAGATATTCAGGCATTTCATAGATATTTATATGATGGAAGGATATTCGTAATGATGACAATCACCTTGACAATATTCATCCTCAAATTCAGCTTAAAATTTTAGACTTAATACTGAATACCTATGTGTAGGAAGCAACAAATAAATAAAAAAATCGCTAACAGGTTCTTAAAACCAAGGTTATTAAGAAAAGCGACGAATCCTTAATATAAYCACTACTTTCTGTGTAGATTACATTTATGTATCCAAGGCCGTTTGATTGGAGCATGGTCAGCGCGTCATAACAACCGTAACCAATGGCTGCAAGTGTACACCGGTCGACGWGCRCTCGTGGTGGGAGTGGCAACTCAAGGTCGACAGGGCGTTAACCAATGGGTGAAGACATATATTTTGAAACACAGCAACAATGGAGTTAACTTTAGGACTTACACCGTACGAAGGAGAACAAAGGTAGTGATAAACTAATTTTTAAATTAGTTTAATTTAAAAAATATATATTTCTTTTTAATTTAAAAAATAAAAAAAATAAAAAAAATAAAAATTATTTTTTTTTTAATTTTTAATTTAGTTTAGTTTTTTACATTAATTAAAATTAAGCAATAAATGGTGGATAGATAGATTTATTAAACACTACTTTGCAGATATGCACTGAATTGCATAGTTATTTACAATATTGCCGATTTAGTTTAAATAGATATCTATAAAGCTACTTTAGAACATGCTCTGCTAATTATTAATTAAAAAATAATAATTTAAATTTGAATATAAGAATAAAGTTCAAACAAGTCAAAGGATTGATTGCCGTAGGGATTTGGGGAAACACGAAAAATGGACTCCCTCAACATATTTTATCATCAATTTTATGATTAAGTTTTTTAAGGTTTTAGTGCTCGMACTATAATTTAAAATTGCGAGAGAATAAAGAAAGCTAAAAAATGCAATTTCAATGTAGAAATGTATTATTTGAACACTGAACAGTAACAACTGGGTTTACTGAATACGTGTCTGTGGATTATTCTAACGTTGTACCATTGATTTAGGTGTTCCGTGGCAACAGCGATCAAAACACAGTTAGGAAGCATGCACTCATTCCGTAYATACACGCAACGTATGTACGCTTCTGTCCACAAACATGGAGAGGACACATTTCAATGAGAGTAGAATTGTACGGGCGACTTTATGGTAAGTGTCACTGAATCGCAGAGTCGCTTACGTATATACGTGAGGAAAGTATGGAACCAAGCCGTTTGCGTAGACCCTTACGTATACGTGATGAAAGTATTAAACCTAACAGTTTCCGTTGAGCATTACGTATACGTGGGGATAGTATTGAACCTGACCGTTTCCGTAGACTCTAACGTATACGTGATGAAAGTATTGAACCTAACCGTTTCCGTAGACCTCTTTAAATTCTTTAGTTGGTCATGCGGTTGCGTTTTCTGGTCCTCACATTTACGGAAAAAGCCTATAGCTCTTATAATCATTGACACGAAACGTGAGTTTCATGGGAAAATACGTTACACTTTATGCATGAACTTGTCTGCATAAGTAACTTATGTATTGATTTCTTTTTCAGGATACGTTCGCAGAGAGAAATCTCTCGGTCTAGGYATGCGCCATAAACGTCTTCCAAACAGGGCTTTCAGTGCATCTGGTATATGGAACGCTGCCCATTCTGCTTTCTGTGGTAGATTGGAYTGGACCAAACATGGCCGATATATCGGTGCATGGTGTCCTCGACACATGAACACGAAGCAATGGATTCAGGTTGATATTTCGTTCTCGAATATTCTTGACATACAGCTATTTCAAAAMAYGTTGTCGGGGAGAACGGCGAACGGCGATTGTCGAAGGGAGATYGCACGAYCGAAATGGACTATGGTTACACTGTTTTGATAAACATAATTTCACTTATTGGATTCACTTTACATAGAAATGGAGACTAAATGGAGCCAATGTTGACAACAGACCATCTTACAGTACAAATCAGTTTTTATTGCCTTTCAACTAGCAAAACCCATGACTACTTTCAGTTGTACAATCGCCGTTCGACCATTGACATTCGCCATTTTATCTGACAACCTTTTTTGAAATAGCTATATTCATTAATTGCTTATTGAAAGGTGCTTTTTTTCTTCCTTTTATTTATTTATCATTTTTCTTTCCCTTTTTGTCATTATCAGATTGACCTCGGTGCAATAAGAAAGGTTTCAAAGATTGCTACCCAAGGACGAAGTGATCTGAGACAGTGGACCACACGTTACGTTATTCGATCATCCCCTGACGGTATATATTGGACTTACTACAAAGAACGCAGCGTCACAAAGGTACAATTATTACTTAAGTGTTTTAACAATTTGCAATATCACTTTTTAAAACCAAAACGGGGGGTAAAATCGGGCAACAGCCCACAAATTAACAAGAGTTCCAAGTCATGTCAAAATTATTACTCTTTTAACACTATTTTCGTGACATTGCAAATAGTAAACAAGTTTAAAGGGACTTTTTGGGGAGAGAAGGGGGGTTTTGACCGCCTCTGACTCGTTTTGGTGCTAAACCACAGGTTCCCTCGGTCAACTAGTTGAATTGCAAAGAGGGCTGTTTCAATATAATGCGGACTTTCCGTTCATTTTCGTTTTCACTTTCAACGCCATTTAATTAACCAATAATATCCTAATCATTACTAATTTTATTCTTCTAGATGTTTATTGCCAACCGAGATCAATTTACAATCAAGGAAAACGTTTTTAGTCCAAAACTCACGGCCAGATATGTCCGTGTCTATCCCAAGGCCTGGTATGGAGGCATTGCTTTGAGATTTGAGTTGTATGGACATGCCACAGGTAAGTACTACGAAATATGTCTTACGGGTGATATTAAGTTTATCAAATAGGATATGGCTTTTTATCATATAATTATCTATGCAATACCTATATTTCTCATTATTTTTTTTTTCATTTCGTGAAATTGATATTTTCAGTAGTTAAAATAACATGTTATTTTCACTAGTTAAAATAAAACATTCGAGGTTTCTCTATATAGTGGAAGTAAGAAAATATGTAATTCATATGTAATTATATGATAAACAGAATATTACATGATCGATTGGAGATACGAATTTTATCTTCTCGTGTTGAAAAGATCTCTCACAAGTGAGCGTAGCGAAGATCAAATCAGTATCTCCGCGCGCCCATGTAATATCCTCTATTTATCATTTTTTTAGATCAATTTAAAAGATCATAAGATATGGAWGACTCATACATATACGGGTTTATTGCCAAATACCGGCTTTTTTTTGGTTACTTCGTAAAATCATTTACCAAAGCCAACTCTAATCAATATATCTTTCCAATCACAGCAAAAACAAACGTTCCTCTTGGTGGAGAAGATGGCAAGATCAAATGCAACCAGTTCAAGGCCTCTTCCATGTGGGACAAATACCACCATGCATGCCGAGGRAGACTGAACACCATTAAGCAAGGACATTATCGTGGAGGYTGGGCTCCTCGTGCCAAATATCACCAATGGTTGGAGATCCGATTCAACAGAGCAACGATTATTACAAGAATCGTSACTCAAGGAAGATATGACATATCTCAATGGACGAAGACCTATTATGTGAAATACAGTAGAGATGGCAGACGRTTTTATGACTACAAAGTCGGTGGAAAGAGAAGGGTATGTTTTGGCTTATATTTATAAACRCCCTTTAAAAGATTATCCACATAGTACTTCTTTACAAAACAACAATRTTTGTGTGAGAATAATAAAAATAGACTTTGTTTTTTTTTTAGATTTTCCCTGCCAATAATGACAGAAACAGCTATGTCTCGAACTTTTTAAAGCCATACATTTATTGCAAGCGCGTGCGTTTCTACCCTCTTACTTGGCACTCCCATCCCAACTTGAGAGTCGAGCTTTACGGCACAAGAGGAGGTAACATTTGTATTCTCTTGTTTTCTTCTGTTTTGTCTTATACAGTGGAACCTCCTTAATCCGGCCACCGGAGGGACACCGAAACGTTACGTATTGACTGGGTACAACAGTACGGAGGTTTAGTTCTCTGGGCCTAAAAACATGGCCGTGATGACGGGGTTCCACTCCATGTCATTCAATCACCTGTCATTTTGTTTGCCTTTTTATTGATTCCCTGGCATTTGACGGCATTTTCATCCTCGAGGTTTCTTATTCKATTCTTTATATGTTTTCTGATTTGCTTGGATAATTTCTCGCCTCTGCTAGGTTACCAAAGACGTCGACTTCGTCCTCTTGGAATCCAAAAGGGAAGAGTCCCCAACCGTCATCTCAGTGCTTCATCTTCATGGGATGCCAACCACGATCCTTCTAGGGGAAGACTCAAGATTAAGAGACGAGGACATAAGGTTGGTGCCTGGTGTGCCAAGAGAAACGACTATTATCAGTGGTTCCAAGTTTACTTTAGAGCACCCAAAACGGTATTGGCCATTGCAACACAAGGTCGTCAAGATGCCAATCAATGGGTGACCAAATACAAAGTAACGTACAGCGTCAATGGAGTTTACTTTGTACCATACAGAGTTCGCGGAGTTGTGAAGGTAAGTTCGGGATTGATCGATAGGAATTCGGAAGCGTTCGGAAGGAATTCGRAAGCCTTCGGGTGGAATTCGGAAAGGATCATGAGAAGTCTAGAAAAAATGTATACAATACAATGTTTGTTTGTGCATACAATCTATTATTTAATCTGTCATTGCCCGGAGATTTATACATATGCTAGCGAGTATAGTTAAAGGGTCTTCTAACGTTTAAAATCGAATTTTTTAGATTTTCAATGGAAACAGAAACAGAAACACAGTTGTTAAGAACAGCTTTAACCCAGCAATCAGAGGAACAAACTTCAGAGTTTATCCAGTGAAGTGGCATGCCCACATCTCCATGAGAATAGAGCTTTATGGATTCCCAACATGTGAGTAATAGCTTGATATTGATATGCATTGAAAGCTTTTATGTAAGGATGTATTATAGCTGGACTTTGTGTGCAAACGTTTGCTTGTAACCAGAGTTTGAAAGGTTTGTGGCAAAAGTGCTAATGAGACTATGCATTTTACTCAAAAAAATGTTGTGTTTCTTTTTTTTCATTGTATACGAGAAGCTCAATTTTTGAAGAAAAGCTTATTGTATCAGTATTTAATATTAAGTGTGGCTATGTTGGAAACAGAGTTGTCGGCTTTCAAATTCATGGGAGCCAAAGCTATCAGCAATGATTGTCCGTCATTCTAAAAAAAATGACTTTTTTGTCAGCTCGCTCACTCCTTGGACTCGGTGTGGAGGATGGCCGCATTCCTAATGGTGCTCTGACAGCAACATCATCTTGGGACCATAAGCACGGACCACAAAGAGCTCGTCTAAACATCGGAAGATCTCGTGCAGGAAWCGGAGCCTGGTCGTCTAAGCACAACAACCGACGTCAATATCTTCAAATTGACATTGGTTGTCAAGCTTATGTCATTGCCATAGCAACGCAAGGTCGTCAAGACTACAAACAGTGGGTGAAATCCTACAAGGTTTCTTCCAGTAAATTTGGTTTCCGATTCACTTATTATCGCAAGGTATTTATCTAGTATTTTGTTCGTARTTATATTGTTTAGATTCAGATCAAATGGTATGGTATAACCTCTTTAATCCGGTCATCRAATTCGAAAATCATCGAACAGTGGCCGTATTAATGAGATAGCCGTATTAACTGAGCAAAAAATATGGTCGTTATAATGGGGTGGCCGCAATGCGGGGTTCACTGTGCCTTTATTAACCGGACTAGGTATAACGACTGTAAATGCAAACTCGACCTGATAGTACAAGCGTTTTGACAAGCTTAGTTGCTATATTTTTTATTTAWTTTGCTAATTTAATTTTTTAATTAACAGACCTTGAATGGAAACAGAGATCAGCACTCAATTGTCAAAAACAGAGTTGCCATTAGATGTCGATACATTCGTATTCATCCACAACATTGGCACAGTCATATCTCCATGAGGGTTGAACTGTACGGGTATAGATATGGTGAGTTTAAAAGTTTATCGCGCCCTGCTTATTCCTACTATCTTTCTATATTTTTTTTTCTCAATTATTTAGCAATTTCTCGATCTTTTGTTCGCTTATCTTGTTTTTCTTTTCAATATTTTTCTCTTTTTCATTTTTAGTCATTTCTTTTATGGTTTTAATTATCAATTTCGCAAGTGTGCTTGTGTTTTCTTCTTTTTATTTTTAATCTTCCTTTTCTCATTTTCTTTCCCATTTTTTCGCTTTTTGAATGACGAGTTTCTTCACAGCATATCTGTGTTCCCTCTTTGTTTTCTTTGTATTTCTTCTTTATTTTCTCTTTTTCTTTCTGCCTTAGCGTTTTCTTTCTGCCTTGCATGCGATCATTTCCGCACATCTCTGTTTCCGCAACTTTTGCGTTTTATCATCTAGAAATTGAGAAGTAATATTCCACGTCTTGAACTTATTTTTATAGGTCGAGCTGTTACTGTTGCTAGACCAGTTGGTTTCCAGAATAAACGTATCCCCAACAAATCCTTCTCTGCTTCAACTATCTACAACCGCTATCACGCGGCATGGCAGGCTCGCTTACACAACCTCCCACGTGGCCGATGGACAGGCTGCTGGATTCCTCGTCACATGAACCATCACCAATGGATTCAGGTTGACTTACGAAGATTCTACAGGATTGTTAAGATGGCATCCCAGGGTCGCTATAATGCTAAKCAATATGTTACAAAGTTTGTCGTGGTYTACAGTTTGGACAAAATCCGATGGCTTCCTTACACAAAGAGGGGACGGGTCCAGSTCTTCCCAGGAAACAGGGATCCCAACACGGTGAAAGAGAACGTATTCCGACCAGCTATGAGAACCCGACATGTRCGCATCCATCCTAAGGGATGGGTTAACTCAATTGCAATGAGACTTGAATTCTACGGAAGGCTAGTGTGTAAGTTATACGTTCAATCATTGTATATGATATAATATGAAGATTTTGACTTATGAATAAAAATGCTTGTTTTTTCTTAGCTGTACTGAGAGTTCCAATTGGTGTCGCTGACGGTAAAATCCCCAATGCATACATTCGAGCATCTTCCAAATGGGATAACAATCACGCTGGATGGAGAGGTCGTCTCTATACTAGAGTAAGAAAACAAAAAGTCTATACCGAAAGTTAGAAGAGCGTTTATGGCACTTATGGCCTTTCTTAAAATGAGTAGACCTTGAATTTGTAATCCGATTTTTTTGTATCTTCCTTGAAAAAAATTCACTTCAAACTTCATTTTATATTTTCATTTTTATCCTGTATTAGTTATAGTTGCACACTTCTTTCCCTTTAGAGCGGATTTCGTATGAGTGGGACACCGTTAACGCACGGTTACCGCACAGTTACCGGACCTGGCCTGCACAATTTTTGTGAACCAATGGGGCACTAGAATTTGTTTACAGTACGACTACGGTCACAGTACAGTACCGTCCGTTTCCCACTCATACGAAATCCGCTCTATATGCAATGAATCATTTATTTACTGAATTATTTAAACTAACATTGTACATTGTATTACAGCGACGAGGTCATTTGATTGGTGCTTGGTCCGCCAAGAAAAACACTGTTGGCCAATGGCTGCAGTGCTTCTTCGGACGTTACACTACAATTACTCGTGTCTTGACACAAGGTCGACAGGATCTAGACCAATGGGTCACCAGCTATACTCTTGCATATGGAAATGACGGCTATCGATTCAGAACATACAAGAACTTCGGACGTGAAAGGGTAATAGGTTGATCTGTGATCATCGCGCAACAGTCGGTTTACTCTGGAACGCCTAAAATTGCACGTATAGCCACGAGGGCGATTATCGCTCCAATACTCCAATTTCGAGTTCTGGTTTSCTCTGTGTTAGCCTCAAAAGCAAGTAACATATTCTTTTGTTTTATTGATAGCCTGTGAAAACGCATGGAATTTGAAAAGAAAGACAATAGAATTGATTTGAAATCTCACACTTTTATTCTCATAATTAGGAATATTTTGCGCACAAATGAGGCTAACACAGAGCATTGGAGAATTCGAAACTGGATTATTGTCGCGGCACAACATGCTAAAAATTTAAATAAACTATCTGCAATTTTCTCTCAATGAGACTGAGAGATCACCTTGAATCACATGCATTAAGATCGACGCACAATTGCGCATAAATTGTTGCACGGCAAAGTTTCCAAAGTAAACAGGCCTTAGCATTTCAATTTTTATTTAACGGCAGAAGCCGAGTAGCAAGCGTTCACCATCATTGTTTTTGGATGTTTCAGCGTTTCCTTGCCAACAGTGATAGAAATACTGTAGTTGGTCATGATCTAAGGCCTTACATCCGACCTCGTTACGTCAGATTCTACCCAAAAACATGGAAAGGTCACATTTCCATGAGAATTGGTTTCCTTGGTCGTCGAACAGGTTTGTCAAGTTTTGTTTTACTACATTGCTTTTTTTATTTTATTTTGTTATTTTTGAGTGTTTTCCTTTTCCCTTTTTATTGAAGGCATTTTAAGTCTTTAAAAATCATTTTCTCACTAAGGCTGTTTTCACTTCGACGCAAGCAGTTACCAAACATTACTTCTAATTTCCAAGCTTCCAAATCGCGCTTTTATAGTCTTTGAAATAGACTTCTAAAACTTTACGTCATCTACTTGAATTGCAATGCATTTTGAGTTTTTCTAAAGAGAATAAAAGAAATCCGCCATTTCTCGTCACAAACATRTCCTACAATGCATTACGTATACGGTACAYGAAGTAAAAGCTTTAGAGGTCTTTTTCTTCTGTAAATACTCGCTTATGAAAAATTCCTTTTTCCAGGAGTAACGCGACCAAGTCTGAAAGCACTTGGAATGCAAAATGGACGTATTCGTAACAACCAGATCACAGCTTCMTCCAACTGGAATGTTTATCACGGTTCCTTCCGGGCCAGACTTCACATGAAGCGAAGTGGTCGATACCAAGGAGCCTGGTCTGCCAGGCATAACAACCGATACCAATGGCTCCAGGTAATATTCATGCGCTTACGGAAACGCCTTGTAACTATAATGTTAGTAGCTTAAAATGTATTGGGATCGCTGTGTGATATAATGACTGATTACCCCACATCAGCTTGCCCAAGAGTCTCCTCCCCKGCAAACTCGTTCACATGTAAAATCGTGGAAACTAGCGGTACACTAGTGTGAGCTGCGTYGGTGTTTCTAAAGAAACAGTTGTGTTAGGAAAWATATATATAATTGCTTTTGAATATCCTCAAAGTGATTTATATACATTTGTTTTTCTTTCCAAAATGTTTATTTGTATATAGAATACAATGAAAATATATTTGTTTAATTTTTGATCCATAGATAAGATTCCGTCATCCTAAGAAGATTGTTGCTGTGGCAACCCAAGGTCGATACGCTGTTAGCCAATGGGTGACACGTTACTACCTCACATACAGTCTCAATGGAGTTAACTATGTTGATTACTTCAAAAATGGAGCACGCAAGGTAGGTCCACGAGTTATCTTGTTAGCTCGCGCTTTCACTATTCACGCCTCATGGTACGATATGCCATGGTCGCCGACTAAAACGAGGTGTTGGGACTTGTTGAGTTAAAATTSTTACAGGCGTTCCATCCCGATCGGGGACTGGGACGAGACAGTAGAAACGTGCGTGAAGCAGAYAGAAATCTTTTGTAAGAGTKTGTGAGGAAAACGTTTGAAGGAAAGCTTGTACCTGTTTTTAYMMWTGAAGTTTACAAAAATAAAGAGGAAACATGTSRTGTAYCCACGGGGTCTCAAAGGCCAGCCTCMGTATATTAAACTTCGAGTGTGTCTCGCAAGATTGTTTTTATAAATAACACAACATTCAAACTTTTGGACACTKCCTACATGTATTACAGTCAACACTCGCTATTACGGACACCCTAGGGACCGYAATTTAGTGTCCGCAKTAGCGAGAGTYCGTAGTAACGAGAGTYACTTTCAGTCATTTCTCTGTATTTTTCGCCGGGGATTCKGTATTTTACTGTMCGCAATATCAAGGTGTCCGTTGTAGYGGRGTGTCCKTAAGGCGAGAGTTGACTGTAACTGGACACATACACCATACTATTAATGACATAACATTCACCGAATCAGCGTTACGACATGAGGGTGTAAGAMCATTGCCTAATCCATCTTTGTATTAYTTTTTAGTATTTCAAAGGMAACAAGAAYCGTCATGGAGTAGTACGCCATATATTGAATCCAAATATCAATGCTATTAGCGTTCGATTCCACCCAGTTAACTGGAAATCACATATTTCAATGAGGGTTGAATTGTATGGACGAAACGCACGTAAGTATATAATAGCAGTTGAATTTTTGATTGGCTAAATGATTGATTGACTGGTTAATTAAAGGAGAGATTGATTGATTGATCGATTGATTGGTTGATTGGATGATTGATTGATTGATTAAATAATTGATGGCTTGAATGGTTGATTCAGTAATTAAGCGATTGTTTGATCGATGTATTGATTAATTAAATGATTAATTGATTAATTAATGAAGCGATTGATGGATGAATTGATGGATACACTGGAAAAAATCGTTCACTTTAAAAGGTTGTAAATTTGATGTAAATATTATGTAAGTGTCCAAAATGATGTAAATTTGATGTAAATTTACATCAAATTTACATCATTTTGGACACTTACATAATATTTACATCAAATTTACAACCTTTAAAGCGCGCGATTTTTTCCAGTGATATGTTGATTGATGCATATATTGATCGATTGATCAATTGATTGAGTCAGTGAGTGAATGATCGATTGATTGATTGGTTAATTGTTTTATTGGCTCTTTGGGTAATAAGTTGTTTGGTTGGATGCTTGGTCGATCGATTCATTGATTCATCGATTAATTAACCAATGCTATCACTATTTTCAGTAAGAAGAAGCCTCCCTCTCGGTGTCGAAGATGGCCGTATTCCCGATGGTAGCATCATTGCTTCCTCTATCTGGGATTACAACCACAGAGCATCCAACGCCAGGCTCAACTCACGCCGTCGTGGCCACAGAACTGGTGCATGGTCTTCAAGGTATAACAAACGAGGACAATGGATTCAATTTGATATAGGTTCCCTCGCACGTGTAATAGGTGTAGCCATACAAGGACGACAAGATTACAACCAATGGGTGACTAAGTATAGAGTYACGTACAGTAGAGACGGAAGAATTTTCCACCTTGTCAAAGCAGGAAGACGTGTCGTGGTAAGCTGTCAATCCAAACTAAACTAACTTGTCATGATCATAGAATATGAACGATTGTATGGAACCTGAGACGGTACTGATTATTCGGAAACGATTCGGGAGTCGTTCGTATGGAAGTCGTTATAAATGGTCGGGATTAGATATTGTTTAGAGTACAGTGTTTGTACATCTTTCTTGAGCAAGTCGACAGGAATTTTGGCACCAAACCGTTGATTGACTATCCTTTTTTTTCTATAGACATTCCGTGGCAACAGAGAYAGGAATTCTATTGTATATAGCCGCTTACCTAGAGCTATTGCCGCTCGCTTCGTTCGTATCTACCCACAGGCTTGGAAAGGTCACATGTCACTCAGATTTGAGTTGTACGGCCGACGATACAGTAAGCTATACATTATATTAATGAAAGCACAACATAAAGAAATTCAATCGTGTGATACTTTAATGCTGCAGTTTAACGCTGTAGGTTTAGCGTAATAATCCTTGCTCAATGAACGGGCTACCTATATTATCAGATGTTGTTTTGCTTTTCTTGGGGGAACAAATACAACGTTTAAGCGAAAACGAGACCACAGTTTGCTTTCTGGAATTATTTTCGTCTCTCTGATTGGTCAATTTAATGCATCTACTTATAAGTCTCTCTCTGATTAGTCAATTTAATGCATCTACTTATAAGTCTCTCTCTGATTGGTCACTTTAATGAATCTACTTATAATTCTCTCTCTGATTGGTCAATTTAATGCATCTAYTTATAAGTCTCTCTCTGATTGGTCAATTTAATGCATCTATTTATAAGTCTCTCTCTGATTGGCTATTTACCAGGAATACCAAGAATACCTAAGCCATGTGGTATCAGTAACAGACGTCTACCTAACAAGTACATCTCCGCCTCCAGTCAATGGGACAAGTATCATGCAGCTTATCTCGCTCGACTCTACAACCAACGCCGTGGCCGATATCARGGTGGCTGGTCAGCCAAACGAAACAGACGGGGAGAATGGATCCAGTATGATTTACGTAGGTATAAGAARATTTTCATGGTCGCAACCCAAGGACGAAGTCACTACAATCAGTTCGTYAGAAGCTATAAAATCAGATACAGCGTGGATGGACGACGATGGATRTGGTACAGGGAAAACAGCGTTGTTAAGGTAGAGTCAAACTCTGTTTTCAGGGTTTTTTTTAATATATCTTGCTTTATATTGAATGGAGAGGGTGTAGCATTAATAAAATGCATTTTGTTTCGAGGAAAAAGTACTATCCAAAATATCAAATTTTCTACATCATGCTAGTGTTATTCTATCTTGTTATGGAATATTATCAGCCGTGATTTGGTTTTATTTAACTGAAATATCTTCTCGATGCAATCAAACAGCCATTTTTCACAAAGCCAATATAAGATAATCACGTCCGAATAATRACATTTAACTTATTATGCTATATTATTGAAAATGCAGGTTCTTCCTGGAAACAGAGACCATAACACCGTGAGACAAAACGTTTTCAAGCGGCCATTCATTTGTCGTTTCGTACGTATCTACCCATTCACGTGGTACAAGCACATGTCACTAAGAGCTGAATTCTATGGCTACATACAACGTAAGGGTTTTTAAGATACAGTTGTGTAAAAAGATAAATTTAACACCGTTAAAATATAAGGTGAAATAAGTTACTGACGTTTCGGACGTTTATCCTTCGTCGGAGTAAAGAGATGGAACTAGGTATACTGTGAGTTTATATAGTAAGAGTAACAAAGAGAATAGACCAATAGGAGCAAGGTAGGTATGGTAACGAGAAATAAACAATAAAAGCAAGAGATGTGTTAGACAAAAAGCTTTGCAAGCTGAAAATKTCTTGTAAAAGCTGTCTTTATGGCTGTGTGTTTATCAATGCTTTAGGCTTTTTAAAATTCTAAAAAGAAACAACATATTCGATTGTATTTTTTTATAAATTGAAGATCGCTGTTTTGATGCTTCATATTAATCACTATATCACGGTTTCTTATTGCAGCTCACAACAGGCTACCTATCGGTGTTGAAGACCGCAGGATTCCAGACTATGCCATAACCGCTTCCTCCAAATGGGATAAAAATCACGGCCCTAGCAACGCTCGCCTTAACAACAAAAGACGCGGACATAAAACTGGCGCATGGTCAGCTAAACGCAACAAGCGAGGACAATGGATTCAGGTTTTCCTTGGAAAACGAAAGCAAATCACTGCCATTCTTACTCAAGGTCGACAAGACGCAGACCARTGGGTGACGTCATACACTGTTGCCTATAGCAACAATGGAAGAAACTTCAGGCCTTACAAGGAACGTGGACGTACTAAGGTAATGATAACGATATTCTTCACTTGATCAATTGTGGACTGCTTTGTAGTGTTTAAAGTCACTTTTCATTGACAAATGAGATTGAACTTCATATGAATAAGAAGCGGAAACCTTTTTGTAAATAAAAATTTAACTGTATTACTATTATACGACGTATTTTTTGATTTATCGTTTCCTATCCTCACTAAGACACTTTGTGAATGGTATTGAACAATTTAATACGAAAACGGCTGAAAAAAACTAAACTTCAACGTGATTTCATGTTGTTTATTTGTWATATACCGCAATATGCAGTAATTATGATGCGCTTTACAAAATATTAGAAAATTTAATTCTTTTATAAAAATTTATGAAAAAAGATATAAAAGAGATAAATGTTTATTTGTAAAGTATATATAAGTATATACTGAAGAAGGCCGAAGTGCCGAAACGTTCAAATAAAGAGTAGGAATAATAGTTGCAAGTTGCGTGCCTTTTTCTTCAATTTATTCAATTTAAGTATATATAACTTATATATACTTGGAATATGAGCCAAAAAGCTCATAATTTCTGCATATTGCTGTAGCAATTCAAGTTTGTTCTTATATCATTTGTTGTCTTTGCAGATCTTCAGTGCCAACAATGACAGAAACACAATCGTCGAACGACGAGTAAATATTATCTGTAGGTACATCAGAATCTACGTACGAACATGGTACAAGCATATATCCATGAGAATCGGACTGTTGGGACGACGAGGAGGTACGATTGTTGTAGAGAATATTGTAGAATGTCATTCAGAATTTAGGCGCGCTTATCGTATACAACAGTTGTARAGGAATTGAAAAGGTCTAAGTAAAGACGAAACTAGTTTTCCTCAACCGAATCTTGTGTTTTCTGTGCGTCAAAGGAGGGATAAAAGTATCAATATCGAAGGATATCTTTCCCAGTGGCCTAATAACGAGAATGACACGTGACGTACTCGTGATTTTTTCTATAGGACATGTACGACCTCCAGTTCCTCTTCGAGCTCTTGGTATGAGAAGTGGCTACATCCGAAACGGACAGATCAAAGCCTCATCTAACTGGGACAGAAACCATTACGCCTACCTGGCCAGACTTCACTTCAAAGCACGTGGACGTTTGCAAGGTGGATGGTCTTCCAGACACAACAACAAACATCAATGGATCCAGGTAAAAACGCGTACCGTGTGTTCTATCTAGATTCACCCATACCTCTGCCGGATCCCCTCTGCCTTTCTGCTCCTGCGTCTTTAAAGTGCCTATGACAATTTATGTTTTCATACTATGTTTTTATGAACGCTATCTGGGAATATGGTTATTTCCTACATTGCCTGTCATGAAACTATTTTTAAGCGACTCCTTCAAAGTTCGTATATCTAATGAAACCTTCTTTGGCGTCATTTTCATCAACACTTTGTAAGGTTGACCCTTCATAACTCAAAGATGCAAMACTGAAGTTCACAGAAAATCAGCAATTATTGTGTCAGGCGTCATGGGCATTTGAAATGCCTATAGCATGCTTTGACTCTACATCTATATCTTTCATGACATCGCACTTCCTAAGCTATCAATCGAGTAAATTTATTAATCCATGTTCGCTTGTTCTTTAGGTTACTTTCCGACGTCCAAAGGTTGTCAATGGCATCGCTACTCAAGGTCGACAGAACGCTAACCAGTGGGTGACACGTTATTACCTTACGTATAGCATGAACCGTATCCATTTTGTTCCTTATCGATTCCGTGGAAGAACTAGGGTTAGTTTATTCATTTCTCTGATTACTTATTTTAAATTAATGATTAATTAATAATCGCCTATTTAGTCATTTGAAATTCAACTATTTAATATTAATTTATTAATAATTAATTGATAATCGCTTATTTTTTTCATTTGAAATCCAATTATTTAATATTAATTTATTGATAATCGCTTATTTAGTCACATTTCTTTACAACTTTTAAACAATACAAACTCAATAACAACTATAACAATTTTAAAAAAATCAAAGAAAAATATAATTWAAAAAACATAAAATGTCTGATATGTCTTCATTTACAACGTGCAAGTGGCAGTCATCAAAATAGTCTATTTTATTACTTTTTTCATTTGATTTACTCTATAAATAAAACACGTCTTTCAATTTCGGTAGACATTCCGTGGAAACAAAAACCGCAATAGCGTTGTGTTACATCGCCTTCGTCCAGCAATCAGATGTCTCAGCATTCGTATCCGTCCACTTGGATGGCATGGTCACATCTCTATGAGATTTGAACTGTACGGTCGAAATGCWGGTAAGTGATTTAACTAAATTAAATTATATCTTTTCCATTGTTGATTAAATGAGAGTCAGGTTAAACGACGAACTTCACATGTGCCTAATACAATTCAAGAGTTAAATACATTTGAGTTTGGGCGTATAAATCAGTTTTGAATCAGATACAATTTTATTGAATCTCGACTGAAATAGTCGAAGACACGATACTAGTGGCGCGGTGGTCTCACACGCCGCCTTTCACATGTGTCAGAAGTAATGTATTTATTCCGTATTTACTTTTTATTTAGTTTCCGTTCGTCGATTCCCATTGGGAATGGAAAACAAGCGTATTCCAGACAGAGCCATTACCGCATCTTCACAATGGAACTTCCAACACAGGGCATCCAACGCCAGACTAAACGCACGCAGGACTAGACACAGAACTGGTGGATGGTCTTCRAAATATAACAAACGAGGACAATTTATTCAAGTGGATCTTGGTACTCGTTCGYTAGTGACTGGYATYGCTACACAAGGTAGACAAGACGCAAACCAATGGGTGACTCGATATTTCGTAACGTACGGCACGAATGGACGACGTTTCTGGCATTATAGACAGGGCCGACGCGTCATCGTAAGTTGATAGACCACACCTTGAATCCTTCCCAGGCAACTCTTTTTTCCTCATTTGGKCTTCCTTTGTAACGGTCATCTCCCCTGGGGAGAGCCTACGTAGCACTCAGTTGATGTAATATATTCATAAAGATAYAATACAAAACACATAATACAATAGAACRAGAAACAATRGAATACAATACATTTTATGAATACATTACATCAACTGCGTGCTACGTAGSTCMCCCCATCTCCCCTGTCTCTCGCCCCCATTCTCCCTCTTTTGACTCGATCACAAAAAAGACAGGAAGCCCGCGATTCTTGGTGATGCCTGAGGAGGAGTCTAGTCCAGACAAGTTATTATATTATTACAGAAAGGATTTTAACAAAAAGACCGGAAAATTAGCTTCTCATCTTCGGGTGGCAACTCGGACCTTTGAGCGTGAAATTTCGGAGAATAATTTATTTTTAATTAAAGAACTTAATTAAAGTCTSATTTAGCTTTTGTATTGTTTTACGGAAAGACAAATGGTTAGAATCTGGAGACCTTAAGAGCAATGATCTCATGATGTGTGTTTGTGTTTTTTCAGTATTTCCGCGGTAACAAAGACAGGAAYTCTATAGTCTACCACCGATTCTTCAGGCCAATAAGGTGCCGATTCATCCGGGTATATCCAACACACTGGCGTGGTCACATGTCATTGAGACTTGAGCTTTATGGACGAAGATTACGTAAGTTAATCTTCATAAGCTACTGATTGAGACAGCTTATCATGCCTAACATTATTATTGATTGTTGTGTGTGTGTGTCAATGTAAATATTGTTCTGTYATGTTGATTTAAAGCTGAATTTCTGKAATTTTTAGGTCCAGCGCCACGTCCAAGACCTAGTGGCATAGCAAATGGACGCCTACCCAACAGATTCATCACTGCGTCCAGTATATGGAACAAATGGCACGCCGCATGGTTGGCTCGTCTGCATAGAAAGAGACGCGGACATTACACTGGAGGATGGGCCTCTCGCTATAACAAGATAGGACAATGGATTCAATTCGACCTCAGAAGAACTAAGAGAATATACAAGGTTGTCACTCAGGGACGTCAAGATGCCAACCAATGGGTGACCAGATACCAAATCAGATACAGTCAAAATGGAAGACATTGGGTGTGGTACAAGAGACGCAGCCATGTTGTTAAATTCGTTGGAAACCGCGACAGAAATACTGTTAAAGGAAATCTTTTCCATCGACTGATCACTGCTAGGTTCATCCGAATCTATCCAATAGCCTGGGTCGGACATATGTCTCTCAGAGCTGAGTTCTACGTCTTGAAAGCATGTAAGGATTTCTAAATAATAACAATTATGATAATGATAGCTAACAATTAGATCTCGAAGGCAAGTGGACTACAAGCTGATAGTCCCACTATTCTATAGTATTACGATACTAGTTCACTATGTTTCAGTATTACGATACTAGTTCACTATGTTTTAGTATTACGATACTAGTTGAGCAAAAAATTGAATGAAATATATAAATAACAATATGTTTTTATTGGTAATAATTCACACATACGTCTGTAATTGTATTTGCATAAATTACTTCCATCCGTCTGTCGTTTGACACGCTTGGCATGTTCGACAAGTGAAAATCAATTCACTACACGATGCTAAAAGCTGGGTTGAGTAAAAAAAATGATCCTTCACACATCGATTTCACACACAATATTTCTCAAAGAAAATCAAATTTGGCAATTTTCACTATTTGAACTAYTTAACTATTGAAAATAGACCCCGAGTAGCGTAGCCAATCAGAATGTAGGATTTRCAACAGTCCACTAGTATCATGGTAATATTAATGTAGGATAAACATCATTGGAATTTAGTGACGAGTGCTGAAGAAAGTGTGTCTATTATACAGTGTAACATGTTTTAAAAGCRTTTCATTGGAATTCAATCTTAAAGATACGTTTCTTTCTGCCTCTAGCTCCTTACTACATACCGCTCGGAATCGAGGACGGAAGCATACCAAACATTGCTTTCAGAGCTTCAAGCAGCTGGAGCCGCACCCACGGGCCATCAAGAGCACGCCTCAATACTGTTAAACAAGGACGTAGGACTGGAGCATGGTCCGCAAARCGAAATGACCGACGTCAATGGATTCAAGTTGATCTTGGACGACAAACTTATGTCACTCAAATATGGACCCAAGGTCGACAGGAYTATAACCAATGGGTGAAAACGTATACCGTGTCCTATAGTAAGAATGGAAGAAGTTTCAGAGCTTATAGATACAGAGGACGCGTTAAGGTAAATAGCCTAATAGTCTCGTTATAGCACCACCACCCCCACCCCCCCCCCCCCTCACCCCTTCCCCCCAGGCAACTCTTTTTTTTTTCCTCCTTTGGGCTTCCTTTGTAACAGTCATCTTGGCCGCTTGAGACTAGTGACTCCCAAAAAAAGACAGGAGGCCCGTGATTCTTAGTGATACATGCGGAGGGGGCTAATCACGTGAAATAATTGAACGTGAGATCATTTGCTATTTTCTAATGGCAGGTGTTCCGTGGAAACACAGACAGGGATACCATTGTAAAACAGACATTCAAACCTGGCTTCCGAGCTCGTTTCGTCAGATGTCACCCAAGAACGTGGCATGGACATATCTCTATGAGATTTGCTCTCATAGGAAGACGAGGTAATTTATTAAGCAACTTCAAACTGCACTAATTATTATTATTAAATCACAACCGGTTAATCCAGAACTCTGACCTACAAATATACAAAATCTGTTTGACATTACATATGTTTTGCGTAGCGAAAATACTTTTCTATGCCCTTATATACCAAATCATATGTTTTGCTAGTTCTCAAACGTCCAAGACCACCAGTCCGYCCACTTGGAATGCAGAGYGGACGTATTCGCAATAACCAGATCAGAGCCTCATCTAACTGGGACARAAACCATTWCGCCTACCTGGCCAGACTTCACTTCAAAGCACGTGGACGTTTACAAGGTGGATGGTCTTCCAGACACAACAACAGAAACCAATGGATCCAGGTAATGAAAGGATAGCAACTTCAGCCTTCATATTGTTATAGTTGTTCAAWTTTAAGCGGAATTGCTTTCTTGTCTACTAGGTTACATTCCCCCGTCAAAAAGTAATCACCGCTATTGCAACTCAAGGTCGACAGAACGCAAACCAATGGGTAACGCGGTATTACCTTGCGTACAGCCAACGTGGCTTACGTTTTGTACCTTACCGGCGAAGAAGACGAGTTGTGGTGAGTATATTTATAGGCATTTACCATATGGTTCGAAGAAGAAAAGCTTATTCATTGTTAGAATTTGCGTGTTCTCCTCTCAGCTGTTCGACTGTTTCACGTAATAAAATCGAGTATGACATGGTATAGAAGAGGTACATAAAACCACATCAAGAGAGATTTTGCTGCTTTTGTGTCTGCAAACAGTTTATTTTGAGATTTAACGAAAGTTTAAGGTTTTCCAAGAAGCACTTGTTGTATTGATATCCAGGCGTGAATTTAGCCATATTGGGGACTACGATTCTTGTTTTGACCATGAGATAAAGCTGTCCTATTGTCCCATTTTAATCAATGAGCTATTTGTATTTACAATCTATGTCAAATAGTCTTTTGTTTCATCTTGTAGATCTTCCGTGGTAACAAAGATCGTAACAGTGTTGTGCTCCATCGTCTTCGACCTGCAATTCGAGCCAAGAAGATCCGTATTCATATTCGTTCTTGGTACGGACACATCTCTATGAGATTTGAATTGTATGGAAGAAATGCTGGTAAGTTGTCAATAAACAATTCTCGTTTTGTAAGGCAGTTTTTTGGGAAGTTTGATGTTGGAAATGAGATTCTAGGCCATGTGGAATAGGAAATCATCAAAGAGCATGTGTTATGGTATATTAAGAAGACTCATCGCTTTTGTCTTATCTGTGAATATTGTGTTTTTCAGTAACTCATAGGCGTAACCCACTTGGAATGCAATCCCGCCGTATTCCAGACAGATATATCACAGCCTCTTCACAATGGGATCCAAACCACCGAGCAGCCAACGCCAGACTCCACTTCAAGCGTCATGGACGCAGAACTGGTGGATGGTCTTCAAGACATAACAAACGAGGGCAGTACATCCAAGTGTACCTTGGAGGCCTTGCACATGTAACTGGTATWGCCACACAAGGTAGACAAGATTACAACCAATGGGTGACAAGGTACGCTGTCTCGTACAGCAAAGATGGAAGACGATTCTGGTATTACGGACACGCTCGTCGTATCTACGTAAGTACCTTCAGACATGATACAGTCAACTCTCGCTATTACGGACACCCTCGGGACCGTAATTTAGTGTCCGCAGTAACGAGAGTTACTTTCAGTCATTTGTCTGTATTTTTCGCCGGGGATTCAGTATTTTACTGTCCGCAATATCGAGGTGTCCGTTGTAGCGGGGTGTCCGTAAGAGGAGAGTTGACTGTAATTTCCACTTCAATGTAGTTGAGTATTTATTTATTTATGTCTTATTCTATTTCATTTATTTAACAATTACCGTTGTTGATTTTCATCTTGTTTAGTACTTACGAGGTAACAAAGACAGAAATAGTGTAGTCTACCACAAGTTCATMCGTCCATTCAGTGCCCGATATGTCCGTGTTTATCCACAAGCCTGGCATGGTCATATGTCCATGAGAATGGAACTTTACGGGCGAAGAATCGGTAGGTTTTTTTATTTTYATTTTTCTATGCAATCTAAGAACTGACAACGSCGGTCAGTTTGGACTCTTTCATCCAAACTCCGAACGTAATTTTAACTTAAACCTAACTATTTGCTTTCAATTGCTCTTGGGAGCTTAATTAAGTTCGGCATTTGACTCTGACCGKAGTCCTTAGGAATGCAATTTCTTTTAGTCCAAGAAGAAATTCTTATTGATTATATTACGTCAATTTGTTCTTTAGGTCGCCCAAAACCACCAATTAGACCMTGTGTYGCACGTCTKCCCAACAAATACATCAAGGCCTCAAGTATATGGAACAAATGGCACKCCGCATGGTTGGCTCGTYTGCATAGAAAGAGACGCGGACATTACACWGGAGGATGGGCCTCTCGCTATAACAAGMGKGGACAATGGATTCAGTACTACCTCGGAGGRTTCAAGAAAATCTACAAGGTTGTCACTCAGGGACGTCAAGATKCCAACCAATGGGTGACCAGATACCAAATTAGGTACAGCCAAGATGGAAGACGTTGGGCGTGGTACAAGAAACACAGCCGTGTTGTTACATTCCGTGGAAACCGTGACAGAAATACTCTTAAAGGAAATTTCTTCCGTCCAGCGGTGATTGCCCGATTTGTCCGTATCTACCCAGTGGCCTGGCACGCACACATGTCACTCAGAGCTGAGTTTTACGCTAGAAGAGCTTGTAAGTTTTTTTTTAATGTTGGTGTGAATAAGTGTTTACCTTCTACTCTGCTCAGTGTAGCAAGCATAACAATATAGAAAATATACTTTATTAACATGACCTGATTGATTACAAGTATTGTCAAAGTTACAAGTTTTTTTTATCTAATTTAAATTTACTTGATTTAAATGTTGGCCCCCCCAAAAAAATTACAAATCAATTCCTTTATTTTTCTAAACATAACTGAAACAATATCGAGTATTTTAAAGAGAGAGCGTAACGAGCGTAACGTTACAGCGTAACGGYGTTAGTTATAGTGGGTATACGGATAACGGCGTAACATTTGATTATTACATTCTGTCTGACGTGTGCGTAATCACGCAACTCAGAGACACAGAGAATCATGTATGTTTCCTTGTAGTTCACCTAATGTATGTTTTGATCTACACTAATGTGTATTGAGCACTGTTCAACCACGGCAGCTACAAATTTACCCGGCTACTTATACACATATCCAATAACATTTATAATATACCGAATGACRTGCAGAGGCACATTCAAAGGCTTCATTTATCTAAATGTACGACAAAGTACTAACAAGACAATAGRAAMAGCACCTARCCGATGAGATCCCATCTGTAGAAACGGCAACAATATCATGTTTTAATGGTTTTGCAGTTACCATATCTCAAACGTTTTCGACCATTCCAATGAGATTCAAAAGATAAAAGAYCGGTGGCC